CAAACATTCATGATATGGAACACAGGACAGAACAACCTTACTTCATAAACATTCATGATATGGAACACAGGACAGAACAACCTTACTCCACAAACATTCATGATATGGAATACAGGACAGAAGAACCGTACTCCACAAACATTCATGATATGGAACACAGGACAGAACAACCTTACTCCACAAACATTCATGATATGGAACACAGGACAGAACAACCTTACTTCATAAACATTCATGATATGGAACACAGGACAGAACAACCTTACTCCACAAACATTCATGATATGGAATACAGGACAGAAGAACCGTACTCCACAAACATTCATGATATGAAACACAGGACAGAACAACCTTACTCCACAAACATTCATGATATGGAACACAGGACAGAACAACCTTACTCCACAAACATTCATGATATGGAACACAGGACAGAACAACCTTACTCCACAAACATTCATGATATGGAACACAGGACAGAAGAACCTTACTTCACAAACATTCATGATATGGAACACAGGACAGAACAACCTTACTCCACAAACATTCATGATATGGAACACAGGAAAGAAGAACCTTACTTCACAAACATTCATGATATGGAATACAGGACAGAACAACCTTACTTCATAAACATTCATGATATGGAATACAGGACAGAACAACCTTACTTCACAAACATTCATGATATGGAATAAAGGACAGAACAACCTTACTTCACAAACATTCATGATATGGAACACAGGACAGAAGAACCGTACTTCACAAACATTCATGATATGGAACACAGGACAGAACAACCTTACTCCACAAACATTCATGATATGGAACACAGGACAGAACAACCTTACTTCATAAACATTCATGATATGGAATACAGGACAGAACAACCTTACTTCACAAACATTCATGATATGGAACACAGGACAGAACAACCTTACTCCACAAACATTCATGATATGGAACACAGGACAGAAGAACCTTACTTCACAAACATTCATGATATGGAATACAGGACAGAACAACCTTACTTCATAAACATTCATGATATGGAATACAGGACAGAACAACCTTACTTCACAAACATTCATGATATGGAATAAAGGACAGAACAACCTTACTTCACAAACATTCATGATATGGAATACAGGACAGAACAACCTTACTTCATAAACATTCATGATATTGGAATACAGGACAGAACAGCCTTGCTCCACAAACATTCATGATATGGAATACAGGACAGAACAACCTTACTTCACAAACATTCATGATATGGAATACAGGACAGAAAAACCTTACTACAAGAGAACAACCTTCTTCCACAAACATTATATTTATTTAGAATACAAGACAGAACAGCCTTATTCCACAAACATTCATAATATAGAATACAGGACAGAACAAACTTACTCCAGAAATATTTATGAAATAAAATAACATATAATTAAAGAGCTTAATGTATCAACAATATTTTTAAACCAATGAGTGCACTTATAAATAATCATAAGATGTCCTCATTACTAATTTAACTTATATAGATAAGAGATGTCAACATTACTGAGTAGACCGATGTATAGATAAGAATATCAACATTACAGGTAAACAGATATATACATAAGAGTTATCAACATTACTGAGTAGACTGATATATAGATAAGAGTTATCAACATTACTAAATGCACTGACACATACCTATGAGATGTCAGGATTACTGAATGCCCAGACTTGACAATGTTGTTGATGCAGTTCCATAGAAACCTTCTTGCAGCAGGGTCCATGCCGGTAGTTGGCTCATCCTGAAAACAATCAAAAGTTACATCTTTACAAAAGATTTGCTAGACTTTGATTTGAAAAAAACACAGACCAAAAGAGTTTTCAGGAATTTAATACCAAAAAAATGATAGGTGGATTTCCAATGAGAGCTATAGCAGTAGACAATTTTCTTTTGTTCCCACCACTGTAGCTGCTAGAGATTTTATCAGCATGGCGCACAAGTCCTAATCTTTTTATAGCCCAGTCTGCAATCTGAAAATAAAGCACAGTAAATAATAATTTTCCAAAAATAATTATGTTTTATTCGAATGGTAACAAAGTACATACTTACAGATTGAATATTTTCAGCCGCAACTCCTCTTACCCTGGCATAGAACTCGAGATGTTCTCTGCCAGTCAGTAGTGGGTCTAGAGCATCAAATTGAGGGCAGTAGCCCATGTGCTTACAGACTTTAACTTTGTCATTTATACTGAAAAATTAAATACATTTTCAAATTAGGCATCATTTTATAAGTGAGCAGTGATAACAAACTTAAGTCAATAAAATAGTTTGAACTTTTAAAATGTTCACCACAGAGATCATGACTGACCTGTAAGAATGAATGAATGCATCTCCTGATGTTGCAGTAATGCCCCCAGTCAACATTTTGAATGTTGTTGTCTTACCAGCACCATTGACTCCCAACAGACCAAAGCATTGACCCTTAGGTACTCCCAAATATAAGTGATCAACCACTGTTATTTTACCTTTTTTTCCAGGTTTCCAAAACACCTTTCGATAAATGCAATTAAAGTAGCTGTATATATTTGTGAACTGTATATTAAAAGCTGTTTGACATTTAAAATATATCTGAGCTGACAGTTTAAATAACTTACTTTGGTAAGTCCTTCAAGTCTCAAAACATCATTTACAGCCCCACCTGACAAAACTCTTTGCTTCTCTCTAGCAACATCCACATCTTCATACCTAGTTTTTAATGCTGGTTGCTTGGACAAGCATCTAAAATATAAAAGAAATTCAAATTACAATAATATAAAAAATGTATCTAGAAACTTTGTCTTCTAATAAGTGATGCTTTTCAATAAGCGCAACTTGTCATTTAATGAACATGTTTTAAGTCTTTACGAAACTGAGTATTTTTTTTTCATGCTGTGTATTTTGTTCTGAGATGAATATTTTGAGAAATAAAAATCTGGCCTAACATTCAGTTTGCATACTGTCACTGTGTTCACTCGCCCCTCGTCCGATCCTCTATTGTTGGGTTTAAGTTTTAATGTGAAAGACATCAAATTACTTGTTTTGCTAGCAGCTGTTGTCTTAAATAGTAGTTTTTCCAAGAGTGTTTTTGCAAGACCTTTTGCAGGTTGGCTTATATAAGTTATGTAAGAGCACAAAAAAAAATTATGCATTAAACTATAACAACTACGAGCTGACTAGCAATATTACTGTCACAAATGCATGCTATAATACTAAATGATGCATAAGAAAATTACTTATTATGTCAGTTACCATTAAATACTTACTCCCAAGAAAGGAAAAACTTGTATTCCATCAACAAATTCAACACATTAAATAATAGCCCATGGATAATTAAAGCAAATATATTGCGTCCCACATTGCTCCATTCAAAGACATTATAGTGATAGGTTTCTTCTATAAAAATACAATAGTATTAGGGTTGGTTTTAAAAATACTTATAAATTTTAGGCACATAATTTTTAAAACAAAATCAGCCAAGATCCATTAAATACAACATCTTGGGAACAAAGAGATGCCTGGAAGAAACTCTGATCTCCATTAGCATTATACATGAATATTTGAGAAAGTTTAGGGGAGATCACTTCCACTTTATTTAAAATGCTAATTTGTTGCTTGTTTAAATGCTAAATGAAATCCAAAAACTGATGGGGTGGGGTGTATCAGTTTTTCCATATATATTGAGTTTCAAATCTTTAACTATACCAAACATTTAGCTTACCAAACCTAGCTATGGCATCAAACGTAAGCTGGAGCGCAGCCATGTCAATTAGACCTCGACCTAAGCAGTAGTGAGGCAGCATCAGGAACACTTGCTTTAAAATATCATTTACATTTGCCAGTTCCTGCAAAATGTTTTGTTGAGGCTTTTAAATCACATCTATCAGATATAATCAAGACAATAAACATAACCTGACTTACATAAATTACAAAGAATCAGATCTACAGCTTCACATAAATATTCAAACTTCTTGATAGGAAAAAATATGTTATCCATAAGTGTTACATATGGTTAAAACATCCTATAATAACTGTACTTCACACAGCTTTAGTTATTCAATTTTTTTTATTAATAAAATTCTTATACTGAAACTAATAACATTTTTTACTATACTAATTGATTTTCATTAAGTTAATTTTTTATAGAACTAAATATCCTTAGGGTTTTAATAGTTATAAGCAATTTTATATGCTTTATTTGCATGGACAAAATTATAGACATCTAATTACTATTGTAATTATCTACAATACATTTGTGTAACTAATTGAAATTAATAAACTTGCATGTTGGAAGAGCTGCATTGTTATTCTGGTAGTTTTTTGGCAGCTGATTGGTGTATGATCAAATTAAACACTATTACAGATTTATAAGTGACATTTAGTATACTTAGAGAATGTTTGTAAAAACTTACAGGGTCATTAAAGGAGAGAACTTCTAGGATAAATGTTGCTAAAGTTGATACAGTGCCAAAAAAAACATTGGCACAAGACAGAGCAACAAAAGCTGAACTGGGAACATCAAACAAACGGGAGAATGGGTACATCATTGGTGTCATGGCCCAGCTACAAACAAAGAAATAAGTTGCTTTAAAATCAAGTTATTGAATACAAAACATTTCACAGGTAAACACTAAATAATTTAATCACCCGTTACAAGTTATTTGTACTTACCCATAAGAAAATAATAAAACAATAAGACAAGGCAAATTTGTGGCTGAAACATAAGCCTCTTTACCAAATGCAATAAAGATGAGAACACATAACACAGCTGGAACAGCATAGTTCAGCTGAGGGTAAAAGATCAAAATGTTTTTAAAAAAATAGAACAAAATTGACAAAATTTTTAAAGGGTAGAATTTAGAAATATAGAGGATGCTATTATTCTAAATAAAAATGAATTAAAATAATTTTTTAAAAATAATAATATAATATTTAATACATTTTTAAATTATTAAAAAGAAAAGGGTTATTTTTAATTTATAAGTTTACCATATCCCAAGCCCAGTTGGCCAGCCAGTAGACAGTTGGTTTGATTCCTGATACAAACTGCAAATGTTTGCTGTTGGACACACGCTCTTCAATTAGGTAAAGTACAAAACTGGCAGGTACAAAGGACATGGCAAATATGACACATATTGATGCTACAACATTTACTGCGTTTCTGTGTCTGTAAATGAATCAATTAATGAAGTGTTTTTTTTTTAAATATCAGTGTCATTAATAATTTTAGTAATCAACACTACAGCAAGGCCATACCGTAAGCAGAATTTTCAAATACAAAGCTAGTGGCAAAACTAAGCATTTTTTATCAAACAATAAAAGAAAACAATATTTAAGTATTATATCTACTATTAGAACACTTAACATAGCTCATTGTCATTACTACTTACATATTAGGAATTAAGACTTAACAAAGATAAAGTATCCTAAGTACTTACATATACTTACATTGTTTCAATTTGGATTTCCTGGCTAGTTAGTATCATTGGGTGATTAATAGCTACAATTCCATAGTTGTTTGGAGTTTTATTTGCTGACAGCAATGTACGTAAAATAAGATTATTAAGTGCATTCATGTAGGAAACAGATGCTGCCCATCCTTTATTATTGAACCAAACCTATTGTTTTTAAAGGAATTTTCAATTTAAATAAAATACAAATTTTGTAATTATAAAAAAAAATTTTTAAGTTTCTAAAAAGTGAAATATGCTTAACATAGATTGTTAAAATGCTAAAATCAAAGAAATAAAAACTACTTTGAAATTAATGAATGTGTTTCTATTTCACTGTTTTTAAGCATTACACAAAAATTGGATCATCTAAATCATTATTATGAAATTTAACTCAACATTCACCTATCTTGAAACTAACCTTTTTTAAATGAACAAACAAAATATGATTATGCATTTTATCTACATTATTCTATATTGTTGCCTATTCTTAATATGTAGTAAGTTTAAAAAATATCTAAATAAGACACCAAGAAGCTTGAAGTGAATAGACCTTTATTTATGTATTAAAATCAATCACATGAACACTCACATTAAATTCACAAAATAATTTTTGGTTAAAACTGATTGGACTTTATATTAAACATTATAAGACACTTCTTTTTAAATGTGCAAGAAAACACTTGTAACACTATAACATTAGCTGAGTACCAGCAGTAGAAGCTGACTAATATGGAGTTGCATAGTATGTACAGAGTTTCTTCCAGGCATCTATTCGGGGGGGCTTTGCCCCCCCGAAAAATTTTTACCGCCACCCCGAACGAAGTGAAATTTATATCATTTATATAGAAAATATATACTTTTAACAGTGTCCGCCCCCCCCCGAAGAAAGTCTACCGCCCCCCCCCCCCCCCCCGAAAATTTCAAGTGCCCCCCCCCCCGGAGAAAAAAGTCTGGAAGAAACACTGAGTATGTAGAATTAGCTTTATTGAAAAAACTGCTGTTTCCAATAATAAAACTTTCAAATGTGATGAAGGTTTAGTAAAGGGGGGGGGGGGGGGGGTGGGAGAGAGAGAGGTGACATTTTGAGATGATGTCTATTTTGAGACATGTGGGTAAGGGTAAATTGGTAAAAACATTTTTTTATAGACAATGCCTAATAAAACTTAAGACCTTCTTAAATTTTGATACAACTAACAAAAATAAACTGAAATTTTTTTCTAAGTTCAGCATTAGATTGAGATTATTGGTTTAATTTTAAATCGCCAAATAGGAAACTACAGTCTATAAAATAACATTTTAATTTTATAAATAAATTGTTGTACAATAAAAAGTTAGTAAAAAGTTTAAATTCAATTTGCCTTTGTTGTTGGTTTTAGTTGTTCCTGATCAACACATACTCTACTTACATAAGTTTCAACATATTCCTTTCAAAGTTATGTTTCTAATTTGTAGTTACCTCAATCAGTACTTATAATTTTTTGAGGACTACAATTGAGTCTTGCTCTATACTTGTTCTTCTTCTTCGTTCCTAATTAAGTATACGATGGAGGATTTAAACAACAAGCCCAACTTCGTATATGAACTGGACTGTGGTCTCCAGATCAGCGGGTGTCCCATATAGTTTTTCCCTGAGTGGGGTGTATAGGGGCCAGTGTTTGGATCGTGCCTGGCAAAATAATGAACAAGCTTGAAGAACCTGCTCCGTATTCTCCGGGGCTTTGCCCCCAAGGGCAAATGTCGCCGCACCCAATTTTTAGTTTTTTTATGCATGTGCTGTTTTAGTCGGTTGTGGCCTGTTCGGAGTCTAAAGATTATGTATTGTTTTCGTGTCAGATTGTAATATCCATCGTCTTTTTTGTAGTGTGGGTGTGTGTCAGACCACATTTGTGTTTGTTTTTTATGATTCTTTTGATTTCTTTTGGATGTAGCGAGATTTCTGGTTGTTTTTTCTTTCCCCCAATTTTTGCCAGCTGGTCCGCGATCTCATTTCCTTGTTGTCTGGCAGTGGCCGGTGATCAACTGCAGCACAATCATGCCTTTTAGCCTTTCAAGGGCTGTCCTGGGGGATTGCGTATAGGATTCTGGATTTTTTAGGGACTGCAGGACAGATTTAGCATCTATAAGAAAGACTATCTGACTATCTGGAGATTCAGGGTGTTCTGACAGGAGGTTTTCTGCATGTTCTAAAGCTTCTTTCTCTGCTCTAAAATTGTCAGATAGGCTGCCCGTGGCTATTGACTTTTCCAGGCTTTCTCCATTTGGCCATTCAATAAGGACTCCAGCCCCGCCATTTTTTTGTTGCATCTAAAGCTGAGCCATCTGTGTATTCTTAATCCAGGTATTGCTGGGGTACCGATCCTTAATGAGCCTTATATGTTATTTTCTTCAATTCTTCTTGATCGTAGTCAGATTTTTTTACTATGGTATCTGTTGAGTCACTGGTGGTTAGTGTACGGTGAGAGATCCACGGCGGGGAGAGGTTTTGAGTTTTGATTGTTTCTGGAATGATGTTTTCTATTTCATATATCTTTTTTTTAGATTTTTTGCTTCTTTGATAAATCTTGTTCTAAGAAGTCTGTTTGATGGGCTGGGCTTCTGGAGTTTGTACTTTAGATTATGGTTATCCAGTGCCTCTAGCTTTGTGTATTGGGTGAGGATTTTTTATTCTCTTCTTTCTTCTATTGAGCTAAGAGCGGCTATTTCCTCCATTGCTTTTATTTTTATAGGCGTTGTTTTCATAGCCAGAGGCGTAGCGAGGGGGGGGGGGGAGCGAACCGCACCGGGTGACACCATTTAGGAGGGTGACACCAAGGCAAAAAATAGCAAAATATATAGAGAAAAATGATAATTCCACTTAATTAAGAGATTAATTAGAGTGTTAAATAGTCTTTTAAGAGCAAATTTGACAAATCCCAAAAATGTTGAATGGGGGGGGGGGGGGGGGGGGTCGACACCATGTCGTAAACCTGCTAATGATAAAGAAAACATGCTACATGAAGCTGTATTTATAACCGAATATAGATAAAAATCGTTAGTATTATATCTGAGCACAGTTTAAAGCAATCGCCGTCGGGTGGGGGGGGGGGGGGGGTGAGGCGGGGGGAAGTTACATTAACTCAACTTTGCAAAATATGCCTGAGGTAAACGTTTTGGTTGAGAATCTTAATAACTTATATGTTAATCCATGTATGGGGGGGGGGAGGTAAAAAAAAATTAAATACATAAAAAACATATGTGAACACATATATATATATATATATATATATATATATATATATATATATATATATATATATATATATATATAATATAAGCGGCTAGGTAGTGTGTCAGTCCTTCCGTCATCGCTATAGATTTTGGGACTATAAAAGTAAACTACGCACCATGCTGTGCTTTTCAGTGCACCGCAGTGTCTTATTATAAGTATTAGAGTAGGGTTTGTTTATATAGCGGCATAGAGCTATTTTATAATTTCCACTGTTTGTACAATTTTGCATAACTTAAAGAAAATATTAAATATACACACACGGCTAAAACATATTAAAAGTATCAATGTCAAATATCATTTTCGTTTATATTCCCAGAAAAAAATGGATACATTTCAATAACATAATAACAGTACGGTAGAAAAAATTAATATAACTCTTTTTTTCTAATTTTGACAAAGGAGGTAATTTAAAAATACATTAAACTCACGCTAATAAAAAATGTGAATGCAAATATACGTTCGTCATAGAAGGAATTAGTGTTGCAATAATATAATCAGCAAAATGTGAATGCAAATTATTCGGATGTGTAAGAGGAAATTATTGTTAGAAAATTATAATTAGCATGGATTGATAAAAGGCAATCTTTTATTTATTTTATTCACTGAATGTAGGCCCTACTGTTTATTACTTATAATTTTTAATCAACTATTCAGCACTATTATAGGCGCGTCATCACGTTCATTAGGTGCGCAATGGTTTTAGTTATGAAACTCAATTGTAAATTTTTTAAATTTAAAGTACTGGGAAAAAAAATGCGTGAATGGATAAAGTGAAATATTGTAGGTAAAACACGGATATTTTAAATACTGCCTATTATTTATACTGTTTTCTAATTATTATTCTGTCGGTTTGCGGACAAGCTAGGGGTTTTATAGGAGAGGCGTTGCGATGGGGGGGGGCATATGTCCCCGGGTGCCGACCTTAGGGGGCGCCAAAGTGGGTTGGAAAAAATTTGCGAGGGGGGGGGGGTGGAAATCGAAAGTTTTAGGGCGGGGGGGGGGGGGGGGAAGGGGTGCAAATCGAAAGTTTGAGGGGGGTGCAAATCACTGGAAAGGGCGCGATTCGGCGCTACGGGCTAGACTGTGAGCAATATGCCTTTATGATTGCATTTAAATTGTGTTTATGTTATGAGTGTTGTGTTTGTTTTTTGGTTTTTTTTTTTTTTTTTTTTTTTTTTTTTTTTTTTTTTTGCGTTCGTTTATGTTGTGTTTAGTTTTGTTCTGTTCCCAAGTTGGTACATTTAAAAAAGATTTACCGTGGCGGAGCACGGGATGCAGCTAGTATAAATAAGCGGGCTGTGGTGTGTCAGTCCTTCCTTCCTTCCGTCATCGCTATAGCTTTTGAAACCATAAAAGTAAACATCGCACCATAACATGCTTTAAAGTGCACCGCAGTGTCTTATTATATGTAATAGAGTAGGGTTTGCCACCGTTTTTACTTTTTTGCATAACGTAAAGATAATATTAAATACACACACATTGCTAAAACATATTAAAATGATCAATGTCAAATATTAATTTAATTTATATTCCTAGAAAAAATGGATACATTTTTATAAAAGTAGGTCGAATAATCTAATTAATTCACCTTTTTTTGGTAATTTTTGCAAGGGAGGTAATTTGAAAATATATTTAACTCATCAATAATTTAAGTTAATCTTTTTTTTTATTACTACCGCATTGATTATTATATGTTAAGGTTCAAAATTAAAAGAGAAAAATGTTAAGATTATTTATATTATTTATTATTATTTTCTAATTAGTCTATGATTTCTCAAAATCACTATTTTTTTGCTTTTGTTTTTCGGTGTTATGAAAACAGATGGTGAAATTAGACTTTTTGAGAATAATGGAAAGGTTCTCTCTGGGCGCGGACGTATGGGAAAACATGTTTTTA